GAGCGGCGTCCCACTCAATGCCAGTAGCCCCCAACACTAGCTGTGACAGCCAAATGTCTCCAGATCTCACCCAATGACCCTGGGGGTCGACATTGCTCCCCCTCCTTGGCACATCCTTTCTGCCCCAGTGACAGAGTCACTGAGCTACAGTATTCTGTGCTGCGAAGGCTGTGTGATCCTCAGTTCTAGAAGAGGTATTCTCTTCCCGTTCCATCAGCTGACCCTCTGCCTAAGACACCTTCTGCTCTGTTCTCCCACCTCACTAACTGAGCTCCATTATTCTAATCAATAGCTCACATTCATTAAGTGCATACTATTGTTGATGAAGAGTCAAACTTTGCAAAATATTTTAAGAGATTTACTCTGAGCCAAATATGAGTGACCCAGACCTCATGAGGTCCTGAGAACATGTGCCCAAGGTGGTCAGGGTGCCACTTGGTTTCATGTATTTTAGGGAGGCATGAGACATCAATCAAATTCATTTAAGAAATACATTGGTTTGGTTCAGAAAGGCCAGACAACTCAAAGCAGGGGGTGGGGAGAGGAGGGGCACTTCCAGGCTGTAGGTAAATTTAAACATTTTTGGTTAACAACTGGTTGAGGCTTGTCTTAGGACCTGGGATCCATAGAAAGGAAACGTTCAGGTTAAGATAAAAGATTGTGGAGACCAAGGTTCTTTTGAAGTCTTACAGTGGCTGCCCTTAGAGACAATAGATGACAGAAGTTCCTTCTTCAGATCTTTAAAAGGTGCTGGACTCTTAGTTAATCCCTTCAGGATTGGGAGGGCCTGGAAGACAAGATCTAGCCATGTTAATAGATTCTTTGTGTTTTGCTTTGTTTTTCTGAGACAGTCTCACTCTATTGCCCAGACTGGAGTGCAGTGGTGTGATCTCAGCACACTGCAACATCCGCCTCCAGGGTTCAAGTGATTCTCCTGCCTCAGCCACTCAGGTAGCTGGGATTACATGTGTGCCACAATGCCCAGCTCATTTTTGTATTTTTAGTAGAGTTTCACCATGTTGGCCAGGCTGGTCTCCAACGCCTGACCTCAGGTGATCCACTCGCCTTGGCCTCCCAAAGTGCTGGGATTACAGGTATGAGCCACTATGCCCAGTCAAGATTCTTTACCGAGGCAGATTTTCCCCCACAAAGGACAGCTTTGCAGGGTCATTTCAAGATAAGGCAGAGAAGCATGTTTGGGGTTAAATATTTTGATTTTTTTTTTCTTGTCTCATAACGTTATGCCAAAGTCAGATTGCAAAGTCAGGATATATAGGGCCAAATAAAACCTATGTGATGAGAATTTATGGTTTGTAGGACATGACTTCCCAGGCCCCTTAGACAGGAAATTGAGCAAGATAAAAAAATCCGAGCTTGGTCCTACGTTCCAGACGCTGCTTTAAAAACACTGAGAGTGTATCAACTCCTTTAATTCCTTTCACAACCCATCTGGCATCCTCATTATGAAGAACACTGAGCCACAAAGAAAACTTGGTTTAAACCTTGCCATTTTTTTGGAAGGCAGCAGAAGGCTTTCCCTGACCTCTGGTCTGGGATCCGTCGCTACCTATATGTCCCAGAGGACCCTGTCCTTCCCAGGCCAATACATTCGTTAGGATTTAGCACCATGACTTATGTACGGGGTGTTGATTTACAATGACCAACTTCCGCAAGAATAGAACCACTTCTTTTTTTCTTTAAATCTAGCCTTACCTAATTCTGACATCCTATTCTGCCAGGCTGATGAGAACTCCAGATTTATGCATTTGGGGAACCCCCTCCCCAAGGGTCCAGGGTCATCTGAGGGTGGTCTCCAGGGTCTTTGGCAGAGATTTTGGAGGAGAACGTCCAGTCCTCGCTGCTCACTGCTGATTAGCTCACGGGGAATCTCAGTCACCAAGGGAGCCTCCCTCCCCGCCTGTCCAGGACACCAGCATCATTTCCTCAGGGAACCTAAGCTTTCACAAGGCAGAAGATGTCTTTCCCCCGGCAATCCTTCCCGAGGTGAAGGCCTGTTGGGTCTGTCCCGAAGACCCTGACCGACCGATGGATGAAATGAGTACTCAGACACAGGTGCACAGTCTGAGAACAGCGAGGTGACTGCCTGGCTCTAGCAGCCGGAGAGGCAGCCCCGAGAAGCTGGAGCTGCTGTTTGCTTTTATTCCGCATAGGCACAAGGCCAAAAACCTGGAGCAAACGCAACCTGCAGGTAATTCACATCTACCTTCCAGGGAACTTCACCTGCGGAGGATCACAGGTCAGTTCCTGGTCAAGTAAGTAAACAAGCCCATTTAAGATACATTCCTCTACGCTCCCGTGTACCGACTCCTTGCCCTCTGCCTCAGGGATAGAGAACAGTTGCCTTCAGCTACTCTTCCCCCGGGGCTCTGCAGAACTTTTCAACCTTTCAGAAGCTTCAGAGGGTTCCATATAGTTTTTCCCAATACTCTGACCGACTGCCACAAAGGGCAACAAACGCTGGGTCTGATTAAACATCAAAGCACAAATAGCAGCCTTTATTCTGCTTATGCACAGCCAGGAAAAGAAAGCACAGTGACTAACTGGCCTTCCACTCCAGCGTGGCTGAAGTCAGCCTTCTTCATGAACCCTGTCCGCCTCCTTCCCCTCCGCGGCCTGCGGCCTAGCAGCACAGGCAACTCCAAAAGCGCACCTCCAATGGAATGATGGGGGAGCGCATCTCTGGAGCGCAGCTAAGGCAGTAATGTTTTCTATTAATTCACCTCTGAGTTGGGACAAAAGTAACGTGGCCTTTTGGGTGGGTGTGAGTTTGGGCCCTTGGAAGATGTGGGTTTATAGCTCAAGTTAGGAGCCAAATATTAAATAACAGGTAATATTCCTTTTTTGCCTGACGGGCGAGCTTTTAACTCTTTGCCCATTCAGGTTCTTTGGTCACTCAACATTGTTTTTTTCTTTCTTTCTTTTTTTGGAAACGGAGTCTCGCTCTGGCGCCCAGACTGGACTGCAGCAGTGGCAGTAGCATCATCTTGGCTCACTGCAGCCTCTGCCTCACAGGTTCAAGCGATTCTCGAGCCTCTGCCTCCTGAGTAGCTGGGATCACAGGTGTGTGCCACCACAGCTGGTTAGTTTTTGTATTTTTAGTAGAGATGGGATTTTACCATGTTTTTTTTAGAGGTGATTATTGCTTAAGCATGAAGTGCTTTCCCCCCACCGTGTACAAGCCAGACCTGGCCTGCTTCTCTGACTCACTTCCTAGCACTGGCCACACACTCTTTACCTTTCAGTGACCCTGGCTCCCTTCCTGCTTCTCACACAGTTCAAGCTTCCTCCAGTCCAGGGCCTCTGTTCTCGCTGTTATTCCTTCCTGCGACCGTCCCTCCAGATCTCAGTGATGGCCTCTTTTCCATCTTAGCTTCAATGTCATCTCCTGAGACAGACCCCCGGACCACGTTATCTAAAGCATCCCACCATAATGCCTCTCAATCACTTTATCTAGTTTTTTCAGAGGCTTCTGAACCAGAGCAACTCTATCTTGAACAGGGGCTGGGTAAAATGAGGTTAAGACCTACTGGGCTGCATTTACAGATGGTGAAGGCAATTCTAAGTCACAGGATGAGGTAGGCGGTTGGCCCAAGATACAAGGTGATAAAGACCCTGCTGATAAAACAGGTTGCAGTAAAGAAGCCGGCCAAGACCCACCAAATCCAAGATGGCAACGAGAGTGAGCTCTGATTGTCCTCACTGCTACACTCCCACCGGCGCCATGACAGTTTACAAATGCCATGGCAACATCAGGAAGTTACCCTACATGCTCTAGAAAGGGGAGGCATGAATAATCCAGCCCTTGTTTAGCATATCATCAAGAAATAACCATAAACATGGGCAACTAAGGCCAAGCGAAGTGGCTCATGCGTGTAATCCTAGCATTCTGGGAGGCTGAGGTGGGAGGATCACCTGAGGTCAGGAGTTCAAGATTAGCCTGGCTAACATGGCGAAACCCTGTCTCTAC